ATCGTAATCAACACATTCTGAAACGAGTGGTTTCTGCGTTTTATACGAATTTATACTATTTTATTTTTCTACAACTAACAGCTATTTCACAAATCCATACATAGTCTAAATATACTCTGTTTATCGATTTGCGTGATTGTGTTTTTTCTCTGTAGCACGTTTGAGAGACGTTAATTTTTATTAGGTAGTTATTTATTACTACTTAGGAGGACGTCGTACCCGCTTTCGTTTCCGTCTTACACAGTTACACACGTATGACATAACAAATTTTCGTTCGCCAGTTTCAATAATGTGCTCACTGCTCAGTTTCAAAAAAGTCATAGCTTAAATAATAATATCAATAAAAGCCTACGTCGCGCGTCTTACCCTAGATAATAATCTTACCTTTAAATTTTATAATAGGTCAATTCACTCTAATATCAAAACTAACAGCACACTATTGAAACCGTTGAACAAACATTTTCCATGTCGTATACGTATGTAACGCACGCGGGTACAACGCCCTTTTAGGTACATACCTTAACTTAACTGTTTTACTGATCGGGTTTAAATAATGAATGGGTACTTTTGATAAAAGTTGTTTTTTGTATACGCATAATTTTCCACGAGTCAAATAATCTATGTAGGTATTATAGAAGTTTTTTTTTAATTTTCTGGCATATACGATATTGTTTTAAGTTTAGTATAGAGATAGATGTATAGTCGAAGTTGTTTATAAACATTTGTACTTTTGATAAATTTAGATCACCGCGGTCGTCTCGTTAATATTGCATAGTGCATGATGCCAAATTTGTTCGTCCTAGTGGAAAACAAATATATCATATATGTTTTACAATTTAAGAGGCATAAAACTATATCAATATTGTAAAATCAATAATCTCGAGTTGTTTTTTTATATATATTATAATATATCAACGCAAGTAAAATTACATCAATAATTACATTTACAATGCGTCAATACGTGACGTATAACGATAACTATTACATTTATATACATATACGGAGTGATCCATTTATGTGGCTACACTAATTTTTTTATTTTAAAATATAAAGTTTATTTGCAAAATAATCGTCAATATTTTAAGGCTTATAAATAAAAAAAAAGTAATTCAATAGGACATTTACGTACACAATTTGTTTTAAAGACGTATTCCGTTTCAGATGTTAAAATTAAAACATAATAAGTTGTGGGTAAATGAAAAAACTTAGTGTTTATTTTTTTGAAAACTACAAAAATCAGTTTAATCACTAAGACGGTTCTATTGAATATATTGTAGGCACATAATATATATATATATAAATATAATATTGGTATATCTCATGTTTATATATCGATGATATTATTTGTACGACACTCGTCAACACTGCTGCACCAATCCGCACGTCGAAGTTATTGGATGAGCGGATTATTATATTTTCGTCTCGAGATTACCGCGACGATCGTGTCAAGTCTGTTAGCTCAGTTGTCGTCGCACTTTCGTGCCGGCATAACGATAATATTCTTTATCGCGTCCCATGCCCCTGTACGTTATTTGTTATTAATACATATCTTCGCACCTCTGCGTTTAAGATTCGTATAAAGCGATCGGCACACGCAATAGAGAAAAAATACCGAATTCGTATAAATCCGAAATCGTAATATACACCTGTTACACCCGTCGATCGTCGCAAACGTCACCATGCCGTTGGTCAACACGGAACAGCTCCGGAAGCAAATCAGCGTGGCGTCAATCGCCGGTCTGGAGGACGTCGTATCGATGAAAAAGTCGTTCAACCGACACCTGCACTTCACGCTGGTCAAGGACAGAAACGTGGCCACGGCCAGGGACTATTTTTTCGCATTGGCCTACATGGTCAGGGATAATCTCACTTCTCGGTGGATACGAACCCAACAACACTATCACGACACCGATCCAAAGGTACGAGACAAATGTTATCGTTTTCTCTGATTTGTTCGTCCCGTCTCACGACCTAGATCTGAACGTCTCCACAGTAGTTGATACAATATTATGTATATTTTTACGAATTTTCTAAAAATATCCGCGAGCGCCTGCTAATTTACACCACACAGCGAAGTTGAACCAACGCGTGCTGCATATTTTCATATTTGATTATAGTTTACAATTTTTGACCAACTATTATATTACCTATAGTGTAATAATCAGGAAACGTATAATATTATTTTCAATGTGGGCATGTGTTGTAGGTATCGTCTACTACGAGTTTCTGAACGTCCGATACGATATGCTCGTTATATTATTATTAGAGTTCGGAGTTGATCTGCAGACTGCAAGCGTAGACATTTACACCGAATCATATACTTACTATTATATTATGCAAATTTTACAATAATGTATAGATCAATCGATCATAATTTCGTAATAATATACGATAACGGTTTTGTACATTATTATTATTGAGATATCGTTGTAGTCGTTTACACGTAATATAATGTATATACTTTCTTCACTAATTATAATTATTTGCTGAGCTCTGTTTAAGTTTTTTTTTCCAATAGGTTATCGCGTTAATGGTTTTGTATATATTATACAGGGATTTTATTTTTCAATAACGTCAATTTGCACTCGATTTTTTATTCAAGGAAAAAAAATATCATATTATATTATGAATCAAATCACACATGCATACACGAGTTTAAATATTTTGCAGATTATTATTACTTAATATTTTTTGTAGGTCAAGAAACACATGTTAGGCATGATCGGTAATCGAACTTTACATGTTCTATATTCTCGATTGTTGTATGGATATTTCTTATCTACGGACGTAATAAAATTTTAAGCGTTTTTACCTATCGATTGTGTGCCGGTTTCCCTATCGGTATTTATTTACCTAATGATGACTTTGAAAAATAATATATTAATAAAATACACCTAGTAACTTTTTATTAGTACATCGTAAACAATATGGATTATTATATTATATCTTATATTAATTATAGGCACAATTATATTTTATAGTTTAATATTTTCATCGCATCTCTAATATATTAGATAAGTTGTGAAAAATATTTAGGCATAACCGTTATAGGTATTGCCTAAAACCTAAACCGTGTGTCTTTAAACTTGTACTCGCTTTTAAATTTAACTTTTTAGTTTCCAATAGTCTTAGAGTTTAGAGATTTCGGTATAGGTAACTTAAATTGATAGGTATGTAAATATTATTATGCCCTATGATAACTAATAACCATCCAGCACTCACAAATCAAATTATTATTATTACTTGTTGCATTTAAGTAAATAATACAAAGAAATGCTGTAAATGTTGATAATATTTTTTACATTGGTATATACCTATATTAAAAAGAAATTAATTTTCCAACACTTTATTCACCAATTATGGGCACTTATAACATGTATATATTATAGGTATATAATATTATTATATAGATACTACCTATGTAATATTGAGTCGTATAGATGATAGAAGGACGTAGGTATGTCAAAATATAATTCTTTCAAAGTCAACAATGTCAATTATAAATGACAGTGTTTAATGATCAGCAGGGTTCGCCAAAACATACCTAGGTGGCTAGGTCACAGATCAAAACTGTAGTCTTAGTCGTTTGCATTTTAATCGAATGATATTTATAGAATAATATTATGTAGATACAATTTTCGTTTATATTTTATTATTTGAAACGTTCAAAATTATTTTAAAGATAGGTACATGATTTTTTTTACCCATTATATGCATCGGGTTTTGTTAACTACAACGGAGTTAAGAACTCTGAGCAAATTAACAAAAAAATTGTCATCACTAATAATTATACATTTATATTATTATTAAAAAATAACTCTCGTCGTCCCGGATTGTGAACCAGTGACCACCCGGGTTCCTAGTGGCAAATCCTTGCCACACATAGATACACATACGCTTCCAAAAACCAACAGTACCCTCCCCTACAAAAACCTACAAAAACAGCTAATAGCCTAATGGCCATAGTTTCCGGGCTTCTAAAAAAAGTTCAATAAAAAAAAAAAATAATAAAATAAAACATTGAGACGCATCGTAAATTTACATCATGATCTATTACCAATTATTGGTTACGTTTTATTATTATTATTATTATTATTATGTATACACGAGTATAAGTCTTAGATATTGAGAGGAAAAATTTATATCGATCTTAGCCGGATGAACGTAAAAACATTTTTATTTCTGCAATGTTTCCACTAGACGTTTAATATACTAAAGAGTATAGGCTATAAAAGGTTTTAAGACCATGTGGTTATAAGAATAATTTATTGGGTGGGTCCAAGCAAAGCAATATAACATGAAAATTGAAATAATTTCATTATTAAATTAAAAAATCATAATACTTTAAACTCTGATAATTATAGTAAGACAGATACTATGTATTTGAATGTTAAGTTGGAATATTCATTTTTATTGAAGAAATAAAGGTTACTACAGAGGACAGAACCATAATGGTTTGTGAGCGAAGCGAGCATGGAACAAGACCCTCTATAGTTAATAGTTATGTTTTCCTGTAATATATAGTGATATAAAAACATACCTACAAGAAATATAAGTAATTTAGTAAAAGTATACATTTAATTTCACTATATCAGATATATTACTTAAACTTCTTGTGTTACTATATACATCACACCCTTCACTCAAGCCGTCAAGCCTTGTTATTTTTTTATACAAATTACCATTAATAATAAATTATTTATAATCCAATGATTTTACGCATTGTATTTATTATTATACAGATTGTAAATATTCAATATTCGTTTTTCTTAATAAAAAAAACTTCTTTTGTTTATTCTCTCTAAAATAAAAAATGTAAGCAATCTGAACTCGGAAAATTATAAATTATATTAAATACTAGTTTAAAATTGGTTTGACATTAATCCTACTTGGTTTTAAACACTATTTATTTTATCTGCTGTCAGTTCAGTCAATTACGGTATGTGAATCTGTAATACATATTAATAATGTTATGACTTATGATTACTTTTTGTTTTCAGCGTGTTTATTATTTGTCTTTGGAGTACTTGGTCGGTCGTTCCCTTCAGAACACCATGATCAATCTCGGCATTCAAAGCAGTGTTGACGAAGCATTGTATCAAATGGGATTAGACATTGAAGAACTGGAAGATCTCGAAGAGGACGCCGGTCTGGGAAACGGTGGTTTAGGTCGTTTGGCCGCTTGTTTCCTGGATTCCATGGCCACTCTAGGCCTGGCAGCTTATGGTTATGGTTTGAGATACGAGTATGGTATATTTGCTCAGAAGATAACCAACGGTGAACAGGTAAATTCAAAATAAATGCATATTATAATATAATATTATACACACATCAGTTTACACTCTGTATAATGCAAATTGCAGACCGAAGAACCAGACGATTGGCTCAGGTTTGGAAACCCGTGGGAAAAGGCTAGACCCGAGTATATGTTACCAATTCATTTCTTTGGAAAGGTAGTAGACACACCGACCGGCAAAAAGTGGATCGACACTCAAGTATGCATAATAATACTATCATCATAAATCTTAGGATTGTGCATTATATAATATTTTTAAATTATAATTTATACATAATCGTCTGTTTACGCATAATTTATAGGTTGTGTTCGCGATGCCGTACGATAGTCCAGTACCCGGATATCAGAACAACATCGTTAACACCATGCGATTGTGGTCTGCCAAATCTCCCGTCGAATTCAACCTGAAGTTCTGTAAGTCAAATCGCATCTAAAAATGAAATAATAATAATCACAAACTTTATAAACTATAAATATATTTGAGGATTTTCGACTTATTCAATCTATATATAATATTATGCTACACATAAATATTCTCCCTACAATAAAAAACGTTAATCAATTATTTATGATTGTTTCTTTTTTATATTATAGTCAACGACGGTGATTACATTCAAGCCGTCCTCGATAGGAACACGGCTGAAAATATCACACGCGTTCTATACCCCAACGACAATTTGTTTGAAGGCAAAGAGCTGCGTTTGAAACAGGAATATTTCATGTGTTCAGCCACTCTCCAAGTACGTAATATACATAATATACATGATACATGGGATGTCCTCCTTTATTTGGTTAGGCTACAATATTAACTTTCGGTATTATAATTTGTAAGTGAACAGAATGGTTTTTTTAAATACAAACAATACATGCAACAGATTTCCAAGAAATCTTATTTTATATAGGTAGTGGTTTTTTCCGTATATATAGTCCGTGTATATACGGGGTGATTCAAAATGTATATATATATTATTTATCATCGCAAATAATTTAAACATTTTGAAACTGGGTTTTTGACCGTCATCAATTTTGTGCTGCAGGACATCATCCGGAGGTTCAAAGCTACGAAAAAAGGAGTACAGCCCCGGACCGACTTCAATTATTTCCCGGAAAAAGTGGCTCTGCAGCTGAACGATACCCATCCGGCACTCGCCATCCCGGAGCTGATGAGGATCCTCATGGACATCGAAGGTCTGTCGTGGGAGGCCGCTTGGGAGATCACCGTCAAGACCTGCGCTTACACTAACCACACCGTATTGCCCGAAGCACTGGAACGGTGGTCGGTGTCGTTGATGAGCAGCATATTGCCGAGACACATGCAAATCATTTACCAAATCAATTTCCTGCACTTGCAAGTAATAACGACAGCTAGCTAAGCCCGAGATATTCCGCGTTATTGCGTTAATACTCAATGTAATATTATAATAATCAATCGATTTACTAAAATGTTGTGTTCTCGCAGGACGTCCAAAAACGTTGGCCAAACGATAATGCGCGCATGAAGAGAATGTCGCTGATCGAAGAAGACGGCGACAAGAGAGTGAATATGGCCCATTTGTCCATCGTGGGATCTCATGCCATCAACGGTGTAGCTCGTATCCATTCAGACATCCTCAAGAACGACTTGTAAATATTATCAAATAATATCATATATTTTATTATTATCTACATAACATACGTACCATTTCGACGCTTTCTGGCTTTCAAATAGTGTTCATTATAAGATCGTACCTATAATATATAGGTATATAATTTATAGTATACTATAAAATATTTTTCAAAAATGTTGCTGTATTTAATAATACAACATATTAAATATGAACTACAACCGTTTTATTGCAACAAATATTATTTTCACCATTTAAATATTTAGGTAAAAACATATTACAATATTAATGTTTTATTCGAATTTTAGGTTCAGAGACTTTTACGAATTAACACCAGAAAAGTTCCAAAACAAAACCAACGGTATCACCCCACGTAGATGGTTACTTCTCTGCAACCCCAATTTATCAGATATCATTGGAGAGGTATGACAATTGATGTATTATTAAACCATTTTCTTCATATGACTATTACTAGTGTTAATAAATTATTGTTATAATGTTATAACTTATGATTTATGTCTATTCGCTCAATTTTTCAGAGAATCGGTGATAATTGGATCACGCACTTGGACGAGCTGACAAATTTAAACGAACTTGTAAACGATGAAAGTTTCATATTGGATGTGCAAAAAGTCAAACAAGAAAACAAAATGAAACTAGCTCATTGGTTGGAAACTGAGTACAACGTCAAAATCAACGTCAACTCAATGTTTGACATCCAGGTATACCTACTATAGGCTACTAATATATATTTATATAATACACATTATTATATCATTGTAATATTATAGACTGTATACTGTATAGTTTATACTTGATCCAGTGGCTTATATATAGAAATAATTTTTGGGGTGGGCTATAGTAGATAGAAACTACTACCAAGTGATCTATTACTTCGAGGCTATACTGTCTACTATAATACTATATATTTAACAGTTTTTATAAATATATTCGTATTTGTTATTTTTCAACAGGCTATGAAATATTATAACTTATAATAGTACCTAATAAAATATATTGTTGTTCTATTTAAAAAGACTGTAATTTCGGGGGGGGGCTGCAGCCCACTGTGCCCACCCCCTATATACGCCACTGACATGGTCTCAATTTATTGAAATATTCTTATATTAATCAAACGATTCATGTTGTGTATATAGGTGAAGAGAATACACGAATATAAGAGACAACTTTTAAATTGCCTGCACATCATCACCCTTTACAACAGAATCAAGAAAAATCCTGACGCTGAGTACGTACCGAGAACAGTCATGGTCGGTGGAAAGGTAAATAGCTCGATTTCTATTAAAAAACACGTTATATCTTATTAGTTTTATTACCATTTAAAATGTTTACCGTTCCCGTACAGTGGGTATTTGCGTAGTATTAGCACTATAAATCGTCTCCAATCCATCGATCGCACGTATTCACTTTGACGAGTGAAATATTGATATAATATATCCGTTTATGGATAATCATTTTTTTTTTTTTTTGGTAGAGGTAAAATTATAGCCTATAGGTATAGTTAATATAATACCTATACCTATATCCATAAAGTGCGCAAGTGCTCAATGCTTTTTTATATACTGGAATTGTGTAGAAAGTATTATAGGTATAATGTAGATCTATATTATTGTATATACTCGTTAAAATATAATGTATTCACATAAATGCGTTTTGGTTGTTGTCATGTCTTATATAGGCCGCTCCGGGATACTACATGGCAAAAAAAATCATCAAACTCATAAATTACGTGGGCAACGTAGTCAACAACGACCCGGTGATCGGAGACCGTCTGAAGGTGTTGTACTTGGAAAACTATCGAGTGACTTTTGCTGAAAAAATCATACCGGCCGCGGACCTCAGCGAGCAGATATCTACTGCGGGAACCGAAGCATCTGGTACCGGCAACATGAAATTCATGGTACAGTAAATTTTGCTATTATAATTTATAACGAGTCATAATATTACACCTCAATCGATTATTAATGGCATTTTATTTGTGAGGCGACTGTTCAAAATTAATGTGCACGCTGTACCTATTTACGACCCTGAATCTCGATGATATAAAATTAAAGCATATTTTACTCTCTGTATCATATAGGCTTTAGATAATTATTCAGGACAAGGGAGCTTATTTTTGGACTTAATAGTCGAACAAATTCACATAAACCCCAATCCCTATCGATGTTTAGTATATTTTTATGTAATTATTGAATCGTAATAAACTTTTCAAATTAATTCAATATATAATAGATACCTATGTCATAATATGTTGTAAAAAGTATAAATTACAGCTGAAAATAATAAAAAAAAATATATTTCTATAACGGGAAAAAGATGAACAGTTCAACTTTTAATAGAATACCTAACTACTATATAGGTACTTAAGAAAAAAAATATTAAATGTTTTATTCCCAGGATTTACCATAGATATATATTATTAAGCATTATTATTAAATATTATTTTAATAATATATATCTATGGGATTTACTGACTACCAAAATATAATCCAATTTATAAATAATAATATTTTGTTCGAATATTGTAATTTTTGAGATGCTTGGAAGTTGTTTAAGGATACTAAGCCTCCGTAAGATACCCTCCACCGCTATCAATGCACGTACGTTACCCCAGCACCCCCCCCCCCCATCGTACGATTTTCATATTATTTTTTTTTGTGCCAATATTTAGTATGTAATTAGTATGAATTAACGAATGATTTGTTTTCAGTTAAACGGTGCGCTTACCATCGGCACGTTGGACGGTGCAAATGTGGAAATGGCCGAAGAGATGGGAGACGAAAACATTTTCATTTTCGGGATGAACGTCGACGAAGTGGAATTGTTAAAGAGAAAAGGCTACAATGCTCATACGTACTACGAATCCATACCGGAACTCAAACAGTGCGTAGACCAAATCCAGAACGGATATTTCAGTCCCAACAACCACGACGAGTTTAAGGACATCGTCGACGTCCTCCTGAAATGGGACAGGTATGTTGATCGTCATTTATTATACAATATTTCACTACCTATTTCTACAATTTGGAAATATTGTTAGCCACGATATAAAATACCTATATATACTATAACGTATTATTTTCGTTTTGTATTGTATAGATTTTTCCTGTTGGCTGATTACCAAGATTACATCAAAGCTCAGGATAAGGTCAACGAGACTTATATGGTATGTAAAGAAATTATTATGATTGAAATTATGTTGATGTATTATGATAATTTGAGACATAAGAAAGCTCTTAAAGTACTGTTTTTAAACCTAGAAATATGCATTAAAAAAAGAAACCTTTACCTACTTAGTTAATGCCTAGTAATATTCTATTTTAAAACTATAATATAATTATTTTGTGTGTTCTTTAAATATTGATACCTACAACAACTAAATACATTTACAGCCATGACTTGAATAAACCACCTAATCTTCAATAAAAAATTAATAAATCATTTCTTTTTTCTATCACAAAAACAATCATTAGTAAGTATTCAAGTTAGAAAATCATCATACTATAAACTAAGTCGACATTTTACGATAAAAATAGCATTTTTAGAGATTTTTTAAATTGTCCAACTAAAAATATAGGTATAGTGTTATAATATATTACAAGTTTACAACCGTGCAAAATCATTCTTCTGCTCCGTATATATATATATATGTAATGACCGAACACCTGGTGGATGGAAAACTTTCAAAAGGATGGCGGGGATTAGTGACTTATGCAATACCTACTTCCATAATATACGTACAGAAATTTTAGAGGGGTTAATAATTTGAGTATTAAACATTTCAGCCCCTCCAAGTCAACCCTGTCCCTACGAGCAGAGCCATGCCGAGCAACAGTAGTAGTGCTCCTGGCAAGATGATAATTTCGAGCCCCCTCATACTAAAAAATGTGTTGTTTTCGAGCTCTTCTTTCAATATTATGTTGCGCCACCTTGAGAAAGTCCTGGCTCTGCCTACGAGTAAGGGTCGCTCGTGATTAGTCTTGAAACTATTTCGGATTGTCGTCCATATTTTCGTTTATAGGCAAATAAACCTTATCTGTAACGGTATACCATTTGGTATACCTACCTACCTATATATATATACGCGCTGTTGATGATTTTTTTTTGGTATGCGCCTAGCATAATATATTGATTTAATACATTTTTTTCGTCAATCTGTTACCTTATAGGATCAGAAAAAATGGACTCGCATGTGCATCCGCAACATCGCGTCCGCCGGAAAATTCTCGTCCGACCGCACGATCACCGAGTACGCCAGAGAGATTTGGGACGTCGAGCCTTCGTGGGAGAAACTTCCAGCTCCGCATGAACGTATCGCAGATCTCCCGAAGCAGTCATAATAATTTGATGATGATTACATGCAACAACATAGATAATACTTAATATAATATGTTTACGATAGGTACGCGCACAAGCACGTACGGTTTTAATTTTGGGAATATTTCTTTTTTTAACGAATAAGCAACAAAATAATATAATAGTAATACCTACCTAATATATGTGTTTTTGAAAAATTGTGTTCCTCACTTTATATAATTTCATGATAATTTATTTATTTGAATATTTTAATAGGTACTGATATGTAATTTTTAACACGTAAATAGTATTGAATTATATACCTACATGGTTGGTCACCGAAATATTATATTATGTTTACATACCTACCTAATTATATATTCATTTCTTGTATAAACGTATGTGAATTTTTTTTAATTTTAATAAATTATATTTATCGATTACTTTTACGCTATATGGATTCTTAAATATTAAATACCTGTCATGTAACTGCAGAAGATGTCATTTTTAATCACTACAGTAAATGTTCCTATCCAAATACTTTAGAGTCTACAGAGTCTATGATTACCTACCCAAATTTCCTAAAATCTATATGTTCAGTTTTATTATTTTATTTTTAAAAATACAGTCTGAAAGTGAAAGCCTAACGTTAGTATAATAATACATTAAAAGTAACTTATTAGTACTTACATTTATAGAATAATTCAAATAGAATATAATTTAATAATACAGACTTATATATTAAGAACAAAATTAGGTAGAATAATAATAATAAATGTATAATCATAGTGATTACCCACATATAATAATCAGGCACTCCCGCAGAGAAGTAGCTCACTAGGTACAAAATACTTTAAGCGTCAATATAAACCATGGGTTAACTTTGCCCCCTCTCCCACACCCCCTAATAACCCTAATTTAATGACATCTTTATGATGAATTTTTAAAATCATAGAAATTCATAATTTATATTGATTAGTTACCTAATAATTGGATATTTACCTACATAATGGTTAATATGAATTAGTTAAAATAACCTACAGGAAATGTATGTATATTGCATTCCTAAAAAATTATAAAAAATTATTAAGGGGCCTCCTGCAGTCAATGAAATAAAGTGACTTTTAGACCAAAAAGCCAGACAAACTTGGAGGAATTTGGTTTGACGGTTTTTAATTTTGAAAACAGATTATTATTGATTAACAAACTTGCTAGGTTTGACCAGAGGCAATTTTTAATATTCCAAATATTGTTAGTGTTTAAGCATACCTCATAAATCATAATGAATAGTATAAAAAAATAGATATTTAAAATCGCCTGGTCTGAAACCTAGTAAACTTGGTATTCAACGAAAATCAGTTTTAAATAGGTGGACAAGTGGATGTCACTCTGCTGTACAGTCTGGTTACAAGTGAGTCACTGTAAATTTGAATTCAATGATTTAATATCATTGTATAAGAAAAACGATTCTGAGCGAAGACTATCAGTGTATGACATTACTAAGTATATATGATGATAATATAATTTTGAATTTGTTATTGAACATTTAAAACAAGGTTCAGCGTAATTATGTTATATATAAATAATCAGAACTTCTAAATCAAAACTATTCAAATTTTGATTTTTTTTTTAATAAATATTTAGTTAATTATTTTAAATTTACTGTACATTTTAAATTAGGCAGATGTATCTAATAAAACATTTCATTATATAAAATAACTAAGGGCATTATTGCGGTAAAATAATTTTTTTATGGACATTTTGAGCCATTTTGTAGAGTACCTTTCGATGGTTTATAGAGCATTTTAATCCGTGAACTATATATCACGTTAAACTGAGCAAAATCTAATTTTCTTTTTAACAAATTAAACTGATACATTAAACAAGTAGAATAATTATTAATTACACATATTAATTTTAAATTTTATTCACTTTTTAAAAGTCATATTATAAAAACATAGGAATATATTTGTAATCACAAATACTGTCTTAAATCTAATAAAATCTGAAAATATAATTCTCATAAGACTTTTTTTAAATTGAAATTAAATTTTTTATTTTTAGAGCAAGTATAATGAATTCTAGAATAATTTGAAGATGGTACCATATTAACCTCTTCAGTATTTACAATCATATTTATGTTTGCTGTATTGTGAGGTACCAAACTAGAAAATAATGCTGGCAACCTTAAAATAGCGACAAGGCGTTTATGTAATTTCTTAGATTCTTCATCATCCCAATCAAAATGCATATGGGAATTTTTAAAGTGATCGATTTTCATACATGAATTTAGAGAATTTGTATATGTATACAGCATTTTAAAGGTCTCGTGATTTGGCGGCACAGAACCAATAAAGTTTAATGGTAGTAGTGGATCTTTTTTATTTTTAATTGAAATCTTAGTATTGATATCTTCTATTGGTTGTTCCTTTTGAATATTTCTTAATCTAATGTCTATCAAACCTTCAATTTCACTTAGATCGGAATTAATAATATCACTTGTTCTTAAAACATTGTGAACTCCATCGTGAGTCAATAGTGGGCCACACAAATCGTGTTCAACATTACTGGGATCTAATGTCATTACTTCAATGGAACTCTCTGATATATAAGTCATCATACTCATAAGTCCATCATCAATCAAATCATCTTTATGGGCAAAAGTTTCAGGTACAATCAACTTAGCTCCCAAGTAATCAAGTACATGACTGTAGAGATCACATTTACTTGACAAATTGCAATTGGCAATAACAAATTTATTTTCTAAATATGATTTCTTCAACTTCCGATCAGCAAATGTTTCTATTGGTACATTACATGTTTTAAGCAATTGACGATTGTGTTTAAATTTTTCATGTAAGTCTCCTTCATTTAATTCTTCTCCTGGAAGAGAGGTTAATTCTTTAGGCTTGAAAGGTCGGCATGGGCGTGGAAAGTCGTCAACAGTCAATTTTGGATTATGTTTTATTTTATTATCAATTAATTTGAACCTATGACGGCATTGTTCTCTATTACGTCCAGGTACCTTTTGAGATACTTGTGCCCAAGAAAATTCATTAGATGCATTTGAATTAACAGCATCTAATAACATATTATCTTCGTCAGCGGTCCAACCACCTCTATAAATATCTTCATCATATAACATAATTCTACGATAAGCATTACGAACTTGAGCAGATGTTCGATTAGTCAGATTCATTGATACTATAGATGGAGGTAAATTTTTGATTTTAGCTTCTTTAATAATAAATTTTTCTCTTTCAGTCAAAAACCCTTTCTTAATGCCTGGTCTTAAACAATTCATCCATCTGTAAACACAAAATGAAATTAAAAATGAGTATATTATACACACAAGCTTGTTCATAAATATCTACACATTTTTATTAATTATACAATTTCTCTGAAAAATATTTTTACTTAAAATATTAAATCCTCATGGGTAAAATAAAACCATAAGCAATTATATTCAAAAGGAACATTCAATAAGACATTTTAGTTGGTGATCTAAATAAATGTAAAATAAAAAAAAAAAAAATTAAATCAATAGGTCTGGATACTCTCATAAAATGTAATCAAGTATCGACCAGCTTTGTCAATTATATTTTAAAAATTCAGCTGTAATTTATAAAAATCTAATAATTAATTTTATTGTGATATACCTAAGTATTTATTCATAAATAAAGTAGTAAAATTAACACACCTGCTATAAATTTGATCGAAATTTCTCAAATTGTCGTGCATTGCAAAATACACTCTTTGCCAATTGATTATATTATCTATGGAGTTTTCTTTAATTACCTCCTTAAGCTTCTGATCTTCTTGTTTTGACCATTTACCTTTTTTGTATACAATTTTCTTTAACTTTTGATAATGAACAAAACATTGTAACTCATTGCGGTTAGTACCCAATTCATCAGCTATTTTTTGCCAATTTTTTTCATTATTTCTTGCAACAATTCGAATTAAAAGGTCATCATCATTTTTAGTCCATTTAGTTCTTGATACATGGGGTTTTAACATCAAATTCCAAAACCTTTGACATTGTAAATCAGATTTATCAATTTCTTTTGCAATGTGTAACCAATCGTACTTTGAGTCCGAATCCATAAACTGAAAAACTAACTGTTGAAATGGTGTTTTTGATATAGTTTCCAATTCTTTTTCGAGTTCCATCATTTCAATTTCAATTTTATGTTTTATTTCTGGATCACTTTGTTTATTTCGATCTACACCAAGACGCAAGTGCTGTTCAAGCATAGGAATTTTTATTTTATTTAATACTTCTGCGTGAATTGCTTTTTCTAATTTATTTTTAAACTCTTGGTTCCATATATTTTTTTCAACACATTCTTCAAGTATAAAACGACCATTGCAAGACAATATTAATCTTCCGGTTTCATATAACTCACTAAGATGAGGACTTCGTGGGCAGTTTGATAAGCCAATTTTAAAAAAATTTGCCAAATGTGCTTTTATTTTCAAAGGTTTCATTGTAATTTTAGACATGGCCTTTTTTTCAAACTTAATACAACTAAAAGCCTTTTCTGCATTTCTATTTGAAACTTCAATATTTCTGTTAATTTCAATTGTCATTTCTTCTAAGGAAACTATATTACGGCCTAAAATATCAATAAATTTGTTACATTGTTCTAATAATTCTATATAATTACTCTGTACAATATTTTGACTAAAATCTATGCATTTAATTTCTTCAAAAAAATCTTGAATATTAGGATTTGTTTCAATTTGATCCAATTTATAACTGTTATTTTTATTCAAACTGTGTACTATACTTGTTGGAACTTTAATATCTTCTTTGGCATCATCATCTTTGAACTCTTTTTCCAACCAATCAAATTCATAAGCACCATCTGATTCAGTAGCTTCTATATTATCAAATTCTTTTGATGGTCCAGGTATCGGATTACCATATGCATCCATATTTGTTTGTTGATTTTCAATTTAATCTATAAATGAAAAAGTAAATACTCAATCAAATTAATTTTGAATGGAATAGGTACAACAAATTATTTAATATACTTGAATACTAGCAAATTTTCTAATATTCTGTTACTGGTCTGGATGTTATTTACAAGTAGGATGGCAAGACATCCCATTTTACACGGAATAGTTCCGTATTGTAAGTCTATCCATGTTTCCCAACAAAAGCTTTTGGGACACATAATTGATCCGTTTTTTTTAAATATGTCCCATTTTCATAGATACTTATAAAAAATATGTAGAGAAAATTACAACCATAGTATTAGACGCCAAAGATGCCTCTACTTCTACCAGCAGTTAAATATAGGTTCTACCCAACATATATTAGTATCATTATGTAAGTACTAAAAAGGTAATTTTTTTAATCAATAAAGGATGATATTATTATTAAAAGGGTGTTTACCCATTGATTTATAAATAAACAATGCTTAAGAATTTAATTTAGTAATAAATAAGGCCGTATATAACACCGTACAACTATAAAAATAATTGTTTAATACAATATAAATATACAGGGGCGACTTAAAGCGGCATTTATTGACATAATTTTTAATATATATATCAAAAAACTCAAATTTATAGTATTTTAATATTTATTTTTAACATTGTACTATCGTAAACTGGTAGTGATACATATAATGAAAAAACCTACATTATATGCAATAATTGAGAAGCAGAAAATGTAATTTCTAAAGTTTAAATTAAATTGTATATTGTATTGTGTCTATCATATTCAGTATTTTAATATGATTTGTAGTATGGTTTAAATATATTGATAATAAATATTAAAAGTAATTAAAAACATTATTTACTATTCAAGTTTTAAATTTATTATAAAAATAAGTTTCAAAAAATCTACCTATATATTATGTACCTACACTCTTATAGTTTTCCTTTAGTTCAGATTGAAAAAAAAACAGAAGCCTGTCTCCTATGTGTTTGAAAGAAAAATAATCATATTACAGAGGCGGCAAAATTAAGTTTTGCCTACATATAAAAAATCACTAGTGCCGGCCCTGTAAACATATCTGACATTATTTAGAACATTCAAGACCATAATTTAAAACAATTATATAACAACAATTCAAAAAAATCTATTGATCCTATTCATACAAGAGATTTAAATTTAAATTGATTTATTCAATTTTTAATTATTAGTACTAAAATAAGTACTAATAAGTACCTAATAACAATACTAGTACATCAATTACATTATAAAAATTAAAATAATACCTAATATGATCCATATTCCCAAAATCCTGATGCACATATAGAGTATTGTGATAAAACCTCTATCATTACATATTCTATAACGAAGAACAGAACAAATTTATTTTAAATTCGAATACTTAAAATAAATTATGCTTACCTCGCTATGTTCGTGTTGATAAAACCACAAAATATTATTATAAATGATTTCGATTTTCAGATGACGATATTAGTCAGTTACACTAATTTTTGGGAAATAAGAATACAGATAAACATGAAAATAATAATGCAGAAATAATGCCGAATAACAATGATTACAAGTTATAGTCCAAGATACCAAATGTATAGTTGAAAAGCGCCATCTACTAGTAGTTGGTTATACATCAAACCGCAGAATAGAATTTAACAATTTAATGGGTGATCATCATAGATATATACAACATATATATCTATGGTGATCATACAAAAACGAAATAACGATAAAATGAGAATCACGAATATAATAATATTATGTTTGTGACATAGATAATCGTAATTTAGTAAAATAATAATTAAATAATGAATATTATATTTATGGAAACCAAGTTATCCACGATTATAATTATAATTATAAATTCTTTATTATCGTGCTTTTGCCTGCAGATGTAGTTCTAGACTTCTAGTGTTCTTTAAATACTTTAATAATGCTATGTTAGCATGTATGTTTAGTAGAACCAACATGTGTTGTTATATTTAATATTAGATTGAATCATGAACTAAGAAGATATTATGGACTGGTCACGTATGTCGTATACCCAAATACCGGTCAGGAAATGTTATGGGTACAAAACTATGCGGTAGTAACGCACTCTAGCCGGGATATGGGTATTCATTATTCAAGCATTTAGTTGTCGGTTTGCCACATGATTTAAGATATCTTAAAAGATATCTTTAAATTGTTCTGTGCTTAAATCGTGGTTTGCCACTGGTGGCGGCGGCATTCGCTATTATTGTGCTATTATCATAGAACAATATTATTGCTTACGCTATTATATTTTGTTATTGATATCATGTCGCGTGTAGGTCAGAAAGAGTAAGCAAATTTATTGTGCGCTGACATCCCCTTAAGCATAGATTAAGATATCTTATAGTCGATGCCTTTAACCGAAAGTTCACAGCAATATAACTAATATAATTTATCGTGTTTACTATCATTATAACACCATTATTTAATATTTAATAGGTACCAGTTTTTAAGGGCAGATACATATTTGCTATATTTTATAAAATAAATAACTAAGTTAAGTTCCTAGGTACGATATTATTAAAAATAAAAATTATTTTTAAATTGGATTTTATATTGCCTATTCATATTTCATTTTATAGTTAAATGCCTAGTGTTTATTCCAGAAATAAAAACTTTTTTTTTTAAAAAGTATTCAATATAAAGTTAAGCCTTTTTGATTTTCTGCTATTGAAATAATATGATATTTGATTATTATTTTGTGTTTTATATAGGTAACTAATATCATTATTGTTGAATGTTCATTTAAGGTTATATTGAATATTGATGAAAAAAGCACTAACAATATTTTTAAAATTAATATAATATGCACTTTAGCATTTGACATAATAATATAATATGCAAATATACCTATTTGCTCTATTTTAAAAATTAGTTTATCCCTCAGACGAATTAAGAGTCGATTAAATCTCCACATAGGTATACGCAGACAAACCATTTAGTTCCAAAAACAAATTAAATGGAACAAAATTGAATATTACCATCGATTATGTAGGTAGGTAGGTACTTGAGTTGCAATCTCTTATCTCACTATCACAGCTATGGTTTATATCAAATAATAAAATATACCTACTTACTTTCAACCTGTGACCTGTGTATAATGTATATTAGGATATTGGATATCGTAATTAATATTTGATTTCATCTGATTCATGCTTATGTATTTTTGTGTAGGTATTTAAACTTAATTAACGAAAATAAAAATTGTTTTAAAGTTTAATAACCAAATGGGTTATATTACGGTTACATTATACATATAACCGTGTTCGAGACATTTATGTTAGTTGTTATCAGTGATCACTTATCATTATTCAGTTTTCGTCTTCTTTTTGATAAAATGTTTGAGAGCTTAATGAATAGTTGAAATTGTTAATTATTTTATTTATTACTGTTAACGCTAATTTCAGTTTGAATTCTTGCTTTGTTATTTTTCATTATAATAGTTTTATTTTATCCTATTGTACTCGAAAGATGAGCGTTATCGAAGGCGTTGATAAAGGAAAAGGGTCACGAATGCAACTGAACAAATCGTTGAGCAACACTGCACAGTGGGTCAAATTGAACGTGGGAGGCACTTGCTTTATGACTACTAAGTCTACGTTGTGCCGAGATCCCAATTCATTTCTATGCAGACTGTGTTCAGAGGAATCCGATCTCATTTCCGACATGGTCAGTTGACAACAAAATAAATATTATATGCTATATTGATATCGAAATTCACCAATGACCCGTGTTAGGTATTCGTAATATTGAAATACTGTATCAAATTAGCAAAATCAATCATATGGTGTAATTATTGTGATCATATTTTCGTTTGCTACCCATAACCCAATAATGAATGGTAAGTCAATGAAATCATGTTTTTTCATGATAGACGACTGTATGCTCATTGCTCTCAAGCATTGTCAATTTCACTCATTAAAATAAATCATATCTGTTTACACTCTAAAAAATCATCTGTTCCATTGATCTATTGATCAGTTATTTACCTATTCAGAGATTTTTAAATGTCTAAATGTGCTCTGAAACTGTTGTTTTCACATTGCTTACTAACCAATACTAATTTTGAATGCTACAACATCATTGCACATAATTTATTATATATGATGTGATATGGGATATTATTGCTGTTCTATGTTTAATGAAAAAATAAAATATTACCCTATGTATTATTGTAAAGTCATTTGCTTGTATAATATAAAAATATAATTTACAGTGCTAAGTACTATACAAAACGAGTCTTATTAAATTACTTTATATATCTGTGTCTCAATTTTAAATATAAAAATATAAATTAATTTACCATGATCGGTGGCATACTAGTATAGCTAAGGGAGTTTTTAATTTCAGGCAAATAAAAAAATTCTTTCAGTAATTTGTGAATGTATTACGTATTAAAATTATAACTTGTATGAAGGTTGATGCTAAATTCGTACCAGCATACCAAACTTATGAGGGATCCTAATTAAATCTTCCTTAAATAACAAACAAGCTGCAATGCTGTATAACACAACTTGGCCCAGAAAAAATAAACAAATATAAAATATGGCCTTATATCAGCAAATCTCAGTTTTATTTAAGAAAATAATACTAATTATTGTTGATATAAATGTTTTGCTCGATCAAAGAACTTGAAAATTTAATACAAAGTTCATCATAAGTGTTGTTGTTGGTGGAACTTCCAAAAAAATGTTAAGCATACATTTTATGAATGTTTGAACTTTGAAGTTATAATTTTGACAAAATTAGTCAAAATCCCAAAAATTTTTGCAAATTTTTGAGTGAAAAATTCATAAAAGATGTTCAATTTATATGTAAGATTTTAAAATTATGTACAAGATTCCCCCATAAGTTTTTAAAGTAAGTCGAATTAATTTTTCATGAGCATTTGAAGTTCAAATTTCTACATTGGATATTCACCAGATTTCTCATGAAACAATTTTTTTACTTTTTGTAATTCAAAAACTAATAGATACTTGAAATTTATACCAAATGTTTGTTTTATTATTTTTTTTACATGATCAAATATATAAATTAATTTTAAAATATTTTGAATGTCTTAGGGCTGTTTTAAAAGCTTGAAAATTGAATACAAGGATCCTCATAATATGTTTATTGTTATTATAGCAGTGTAACAATATTAGTACATCGACACAATTTTTTTGTATTATTATTTAAAGTTCAAATGTTGGCAAAATGTATCAAATTGAAAATGTACAAATTATTTTGTGGTTAAAAATTGATAAAATGTTAAATTTTTATACCTAAGGATAGACAATTTAAAATGAGATTTCGCATAAGTAGTTTATAATGTAACCAAAAAATCTAAAAATATATAAACCGTTTTAATTTTGTTGAAATTTAAAAATATTATTCATGAGTATTTTTTTATGATTTTAGGATGAAACTGGTGCATACATGATTGATCGTGATCCGACATATTTCAGTCCCATCTTAAATTACCTTCGTCATGGAAAATTGGTTTTGAATAAAAATCTTGCAGAAGAAGGTAATTTTGTGTTTATTAAGAATTCAGTATAATTGAAGATCTTGGGGCAACAACGAGACATGTTCTTTTTTTGAAATTATTCAACAGACAAAAAAAACATTGTAAATTTAAAAAAATAAATTAAGATTTTTTAAAAAATAGTAGATTTTAGTTATAGGGTACATACAACATATGCACTATAACAGATAGTGCTCAACTTTTAATTATAAGTTAAGGAAGCAATAAAAACTTGTTTGGACATCTCTTGTTGTTTCACTGTAATGCAAATTTGCTTGGACATCTCTTGTTGTTTCACTGTAATGCAAATTTGCTTGGACGTGCCTCGTTGTTGCACAGTATTTAAATTTTTTTTGGACATATCTTGTTGACTGTTGTTGCACCAAAATTAAATTTTTATTTAATATGTATTTTTCTGGACATATCTTGTTGTTGCACCAACACAACAACAAGACATATTATAACTCCATATATAACAGTCGGACATGTCTCATTGTTACACCAATCGATGCAGATTTTTTTTTTATATTTTATGACGGGAAAAAGTGATTTGGGCCAAAACATGGACATGTCTCATTGTTGCCCCAAAGTCTTCAATTTCAGTTTAATAAGATATTAATAGCCAATTCTCTAAATATACTTCTCTCATTAATAAGAACCTCAATTAGCAGACATTTAGTTTTGACTCCAGACATAATATAGATATTTGTACACATATTTATGTTGGGAGTCGCGAGTCCGCCACTAGGCAATTGCACCATGTACCTAATATTTTACTTTATATTTTTAGGAGTTTTGGAAGAAGCCGAATTCTATAATATTACCGAATTAATAAACATAGTAAAAGAAAGGATATTGCAAAGAGATAAGAAACTTTGTTCTGAACAAGTGAAAAAACATACTTACAGAGTGTTACAATGTCATGAAGATGAACTTACGTGGATGATATCCACGATGTCAGATGAATGGAAATTTGAACAAGTAATATATAATCAAATTTAGTACTATCCATCTGCCACAAATAATAACTCTCAGTAATGATCAAAGTGTCTATAAGAAATTTCTTCACCAAACTACATATATTACTCATTGTGGATATTGTTGGCCACTGGACTAAGATATAGATAGCATATATATTTATGTTCAAATAGCTGAGTTCTTAGTGTCCTTGAGTATGATATTTATATACAGCGGATTCTGCTTAATGTGGACACCGGTTAATACGGGCTTCCGCTTATTATGGGCAAACATGTCTGGTCCCAATACAAATGTTTTGTTTTAACTAATTTCGGTTTTAATGATCAACCGCTTAATGTGGGCTAACAGGGCTGGTCCCAACGTGCCCACATTGAGCGGAATCCACTGTATTTAACATTAATCTTAATAATCATAATATTAATATATTAATATCTATTGTATTCGTATTATGTACTAGGAATAATAAGTTGTGTTATATTTTAATGTCTTGACTATTTATATTTAGTTGGTAAACATCGGATCCAAGTATAACTATGGAAATTATGATCAAGCAGAATTCCTGTGTGTTGTATCTAGAGAAGAGGGTGTTGCTGACTCTCCAAAAACTGAATCAACTGATAAAGCAAAGGTAATTTATTAAAATTTTGAACTTTTCATCTTTGGTAACATAGTTTGTATTTTTTGCATTTGATCTTTAATTTCTCTGTACATTCTCAGTGGTATATTTTTACATAAAATATTAACGAGTTTGTAATTATAATCTATCAAACTCAAACCATTTGCAAAATGTTCTGTTGCTTTGCTATAGTTTCTGTGCATCATATATACTTCTCCTTTTTGAATCTGTAATAAATAAATATTAAAGAATTATATTTTTTCATTTGCTAGGTATTATAGTTATGTCATATACTTCTAGAATCACAAATTTTTTTATGTGTTCCATTTTATTTGATGCAGGGAATGCCAACAATCGATATTTTAATTCTTCTGTTTCTTTCAGTTTGATTTCAGCTCTCTTTTTGTTTACTTTATATTTATAACACTGATCTAATCTTCTTTTTTCGTCAGAATCCCATAAAATAAAACCTAAAATGCAAACGCCTGCCACAATAAAATGTCCACATAATGATAAAAACATATTAAAAACTTTAAAAAATATAAAACAAATGAAAAAAAGTATATTAGGTGAAATTATTAAATTTGGTTGTCATAGAATTTTATAAAATTAATTTGTTATACATTTAGCCAAATTATGTATACTTTTTTTTTCAGGAATTGCAACAACGAGCTTCGCGTATGTGATATATGCAGTCAACTAAATCTGTAATCATGAGAGTATGTACATTCTTTAAGACAATATATTATGTAACCAAAGATCTTTGCAGCAAATCCGTTGTCCGATTTACAGCTGGGCGTCAGAATGCTAGATCCTAGCCCCATAGCTACTATATCGTTGTGCATTAATTTTACAATATATGTTATATTGAGAAAATCTATATAGTCATGCACAAACACAAATACACGTACATATAACAAAAGTACTTAAGTTCCAGATTTGAATATTCACATGTTTTTTAATTGTTATCACTACATCTTCCAAACCTTATATTTTATATGGAATTAATATGTAATATACTCTTTATACTTTTATGTTATGACCAATTTTATAAATTAAATTGACAGCATCGTAATAATAAAATAGGAACTTCTGAATTTGCATACATTTTATAATCTCATTTTTCAGATTTAAAATAAGCAAAATCAAGTTATTTTCTCTCTTTTATTTCATTAATTATATGTTTGATTTTAGTATAATTATTAATAAAATATAACTCGAGGGCGTATTGAATGGGAGAAACTGGACAACAACTTCAGGCAATATACAAACAAAGAACTAAACTATTTAACACAGTTATTTACCATTTCTGATTCCATCCCTAAACTGAAATTCGCTCTATACGCTCTTGATAGAACTGAAAGTCTGTAAAAAAATTTAGAATTAATGTTAAGGTGCTTTGAAATTTAATAAAAAGCCATTTTATTAACCATATTTTACATTTTATTGCATTGTTCCATTGCAATTCATTTTTACCATACTTTTTAAGATTATTTCAATTTTTTTTTATTAATTTTTATGTCATGGACCACTGGATTAGTGTTGTATTTGTGTTTAGATTTTAATATTTCTTATTTAAAAAATTGTATTCAAAGTATTGGATAAGTGTAATTGAATTATCTTTAAGAGTATTTTATATTATTACTCAATGATTTATTTAATTTAGAAACTAAATATTATAGTAACTAATAGTACTAATAATACCATACATGGATATTGTTTATACTTTCTATTATTTGTTTTATTTTTTTTATTATCTTTTATAGTATACAATCAATACAATTTAATTTTATTCATAATATACATGATATTGTTTAAGTGTAGTTAAATTAGAATAAGTTATTGTTATACATTTTTGTCACCAGTTTGTACTATTGTCCTTTTATGCGCAATCATGTGTTCATACAAAGTATATTTAAAAAAATAAAAATAATCAATTTGTTAAAATATTAGTCAAGTATTTTTTTATTTACTATTTTGACTAAAAAATTGAATAATATTTTAAATCTATTTAGTTATAGATTAAAAGTTAAGGTATTATTATGTTAATTGCATGTTAAATAAATAACTATTATACTGTGGTAATATAATATTATATAAATATTTTAGCATTTTAATAAAGCAAAAAACTTTTTTTTGGGGGATCCAATAAATAAATTTATATCATTACTTTTTTTTCTTAACATGCATTTAAGTATTTCAATATAAATATGATAAAACATATTAATTATTATTTATTAGCAGTGAAGTTAGTTAGTACCTATAATAAAAAATATTTAATTAAAATAATTTTACTAACAAAGTAGATACTATTCTGAATTCTGAGTGGCAGAGTCCGCCCTCTTCCATTACCACCCAGTACTACATATATTATAGTATTTACAATAATGTCTCTCAATTGACTTTGAGGAAAAGTATGACATATGTCTTCAGTTGACTATTTTATTATATCTATTTTAGGAAGAATATAGCTAAAATCTACTCAAAGAGTAGTTGAGAATAGTAACTTGTACTGTTATACTCTTGTAGGTATACAATTTTAATAAAATACACATGTATATGATTATATCATAAATATTTATTTATTTTTATCAAAAGTTGATGGTCTTCCAACAACAACACTCCATAGTTGAAGCCACCCTAACAAATAGGTAGCATTTTTGACGTTCATTGTTTTGTTTCTCATAAGTCATAACAGTGAATTTTAAGCGGTTCATGGACGGTAAGTAAATGCTGCTATTAAACCTTTGAGGTTCAGTCAAAATGATCCAGTGAAATTTTTAAACTTAAAATTATATTATGTACCGTGATTGGTGTACACTTGAGAATGTACATTGTGCAAAATGCAAATGTACCGATTGCAATTAAATGGTTTAGTCAACATGATTTTATACCGTTGCATTTCAGTTTGTGAATAGTAAATGCGCAAAATGTTTTGCAAAATGAAGAAACTAGAAAATTTCAGATGTACTAGTACCACCCTGCACCTAAACATTTTAATCGCTCTTTACTGACGTAACATAGACTATAGAGGGAGGAAGCTTAGCATAACATAGCATCATTTTATGGACATTTATTGAACTACTAATACTTATTAATAAGCATAAAAAGGATTTTTCACAATTGTATAAATATCTACTGCTAAATTATTGTTATTTGTTAGGTAACAAATACATTTAAATTATTTATATTTTAAATAGCTTTTAATTTAATACACTTTTTAGCTTAATAGATTCATTATTTAATATTTATATATTATTTTATGTATACATATATTAATGTCAATAGACTAGAGTTATTCAAACAAAGTGTTGGACACAATTACATCAATATTTATTTTGGAACAAATGGAGCTTATGGCCTACCTACCTACCTACCTTTTTTCTGTTTCAGCCATGAGACTTGGTGGCGATGCTTTCTTATTGCTCACACCCAGCCCTACATGCTTTATATTATAATAAATAATAGTATAATAACTATACACATTACATTGGTCTCTATCAAGGTTAGGTGAATTACAAGAAAAAGCCTTTCCCGAGTTAGCCATGCCACTGCTTTAATTAAAATGTGTGCATACTGCCTATGGCCTGGTTAAATCTTCATATCCTCTTAGATGCGTTTTTATTACCCAGGTCTATCGTTTCCATCCATCCTCTTCTTTCTGACCTAGGATTTTTACTACCATCGAGATGAAGGCATCTTTGGCCCCAGTCGCTACTACTAGCCTGCAGCCAGCTTCTTTACCGATATCGGCAGGTAGATCTAGCCCACACAGAAAATCGATAACAGCCTATATGGTCATGGTTTTCTTTACTTTATTCCTACCAAGAACTGGGATAGTGAGAGCTGAGTCTCATCCCTTTGCTCAAATTCAAAGAGTGTATAATATGCTCATCTAGTCATCTGAATCTTGGTCTGTATAAGCATTGCAGGCTCTGTGCCCTTCATTCTGTACAGGTAACTGGAATCAACCATCATCAGTTAGCACCTGTGTGACGTTAAATTTGAAAGGACCGTGATTTTCTGGGAAGTCCATCTCATCTCTTAATCATCTTCCTGTCCAAACACACTTAGTTTACTGCCACCCAATGCCTCTGCTAAGCATGCACAGCGGACTTCCTTACATTTTCTTAAGTAATAAGTTCCTTGATGCACTTGTCTCCCCGGTAACCGCGATCTCTCGTTGTATCACTTGCCTTTCATGCACCAACAGATCTCCCGAATGAGTGTCAGAGAGTACCAATTCAGCATCTGATACAGTTCTGCATATACTTTAACTACTCTAATAGCAGATGGTCTGCTGTACTCTAACCAGGCTATTATGACTTTTGGCAGTTTTTGTACCTTCCTTAGTCCAAATCTAAAACGTAGATGGCTGATAATCACAGACATGATTAAGGCCCTTTTGTTTTGTGATGCATCAAATATGTGCCTGAAATGTTAGGCATAGTTCTACCAAAGGCTATAGCGGTATATCTGTCCGACTATCCATAATCAATGCGTCCCCAATGTGTTGCAAAAATGTGAGGTACGATTCAAACTTAACTCAAAAATAGTTACTTCATTGTCTCCAGGACCGGAACTCTATGCCCTACTACCCGTTACCGTAAATTCGGGGTTCCAGAAAGCCAAAGTACACTTCCATGTTCCATGTAAGCATTATCGCTTCAGTCTTGTTGTGCAGGGCGAGTCGTATATTATTAATATCATGTCAATGCGTCCATGGATCCACTTTAGAGAGTGTCGGATTTATCTGTTCTTGAATTAGTTGGGCCTTGTGAGCAAGGCAACTAAAACCAGATCGTCTGTTATAGACGTTATAGTATATTGTGTGGTAATGGCGGGAAGTGAGCTATTTCAGTCACGGGCGACGTATGCAAGTGCCGCATTTCGCCCAAGCCTTCCCGCACGAGCCACACATTATTTTTTGTCACGCCTCTGCATTCATCGATCACAGCAAAGGTAATGCAGGACAACTACTAGATTATTCTAAAAAAAACAATATTTTATGAAAGAAACGATTTGGTTTTATTTACTTTAAGCGTCATGCATGGAGTTTATAATATGAATATATAAGGTGTAATCAAAAGTTTATGTTTTGTAAGGACCGTGGTATAGATTTCAGTGTCTAGTTGTGCAGTGGATATGTGAGCCCAGCAGTTTTGTTGATTTCTACTTTACCTCCCTGCACTTTTTGGAATTTCCACTTAACCGCCAACTGGACAGAAAAAGAACGCTTTCCAACGCTTCAACCTCTATCGAAAACCAAACTTTCGGTGCAGGCGTGACAAAAAAGGTATAATAATGTGCATGTGCCATCTGGTGTATTTATTTTCAGTAGGCTGTCATAACTCATGTCTCATACAATACATTCCACAAAGTAAGTCCTTGATGCACGTTATAATTTTATAATTTTGTATTACCTATTATACTATATATTGTAAATGCAGTACATATTCATCGCTCCGTTCAAAATCTAAAATTGTAGATAGTTAATAATTTCACACACACGTCACAAAGTACAATATAATAATAATAGGTACCTAGGTACCAATATACTACCTATACTTAATTTTGATGAATATATTATATAATATATTATAATATTGTGTTCTACATCACTTGATTTTTAATAAATTCCCTGCAATCTATAGAAATATTCAAATATTTATACATTCACGTTTTG